GACGTGTGGAATTGTCGAATCACTGTACTGTACACCTGAAACTAACAGAGCACTGTATGTTGGCTGTCCCGGAATTAAAATAAGAAACAAAACTCTATCCAACTTCTGGTTGCCATTATCTTTCCATCTTGTTTTCAGAGTGTCAGTCCTATTTAACTTGACCACCAGTACTCAGATTATTAATTTATATTTTCTTCTCATTTTCTCCCTTTAGTGCCTTAATACATCCTGGTCGTTTTGGCATGCAAGTTACATTTCCAAGACCAGATGTAAAAGGTCGAACAGAAATTTTGAAATGGTATCTCAATAAAATAAAGTTTGATCAGTGTAAGTCTAATTCTAGTAGCAAACTTTATTATTTCCTCTGTGTAATGGTAATATTTCATTCTGCCCTATTTGTGGTCCTTACTTGATAAATGTCTCAGAAGACCAGTTTTTTCTATGTTCTCTTTTCTCTCCATTTGTATTTCCTTTTTAAAAAGTTTATTTCTTGATAATTATATATGTAGGACATTCTGTCGTTTGAATCCCAATGCTAAAGGATGTTTTTGTGGGGCTCCTGGGTGGCCTAGTTGGTTGAGTGGTTGCCTTTGGCTCAGGTTGTGAGGGTCCTGGGATCAAGCCTCACCATCAGGCTTCCTGCTCAGCAAGGGAGTCTTTTTGTCCCTCTCCCTCTGCTCCTGCTCATGTGCTCTTTCTTGCTCACTCTCTCAAAAAAATTTAAAAATTTAAAAATTTAAAAATAAATCTAATTAATATTAAATAAATAATAAATTTAAAATGATTAGATATAAATAATTATAAATGAAATTATTACAAATGAATAATTAGATATAAAATAATTAAACAGAATTAAAATAATAAATTTAGTGAATTTGATTAATTTAAAATTTTAAAATTTAAAAAAATTCCTTTTTTAAAAAAAGAATGTTTTCTTGAGAGTTTTCAGATAATACTTGCAGATAAATATAAGTGTTTTTAGATGAATGTAAAATATGAAATAGTAGAAAAAGCACATAAAATATCATCACTTTGGGCCCAAAAGAGGCAAACTATAAGACAAACATATGAAAATATTATGGACCCACTTGAGTAATAAATGCAGCTATTAAATTAAGCTGTAGTATTTTCAAGGATAGGTGAATCAATTTATAAAACCTGATATGTTGGGGCGCCTGGCTGACTCAGTTGGTTAAGCGACTGCCTTCAGCGTAGGTCACGATCCTGGAGTCCCAGGATCGAGTTTCAAATCAGGCTCCCCGCTCCATGGGGGGTCGTCTTCTCCCTCTGACCTTCTTCCCTCTCATGCTTTCTCTCACTCTCTCTCTCAAATAAAAATAAATAAAATTTTAAAATTAAAAAAATACCTGATATTTCCTCTAATAAGGGGAGCTTTTATTAATGTACATATAATACTAAATACTTATGTATAAAGAATTTCAAGATGAAATTCAGAAAACAAAATGTTGTCTATGCATATACATTCTCAGCTGTGCTTAGGCTAGTAACTGTTTAGGCCATAATTTGAAGGTTTATAAATCATGTCTGGCAACTCTGCATTTTTAAATTTTTAACAAAGTTATTTAAATTTAAGAACTTTTGTGATGTGTCCCAGTGGGATTTTAATGATCTATTTAATGGCAGTTTTGGTTTTCCTTTAGAAAAAGTAAGTTTATTTTGTTGTTACAGTGATATAAGTATTTTAAGTTCTAGTTCAGGATAGCTGTTTTCTATTTTCTTTCGGAATATGAGTCATTTGTGAAGAGTCGTTTTGGAATTTTAATATTGTGTTTATCTATGTAGCTGTGGACCCAGAAATTATAGCTCGAGGTACTGTTGGCTTTTCTGGAGCAGAGTTGGGGAATCTTGTGAACCAGGCTGCATTAAAGGCAGCTATTGATGGAAAGGAAATGGTTACCATGAAGGAACCAGAGTTTTCCAAAGATAAAATTCTAATGGGTAGGTTTTCTCTCTCTTTTTTTTTTTTTTTCCCTGTCTTACACTGTTCATTATGTTAGAGAATAAATTCTTTTTGAGAAAAATATTACAAGAAAGAAAGGTACAGGAGCAAGAAAATATTTACTCAAAAGTAGCCACACAACTGGGTCTCTTACAGAACAAATACAGTTTATATGATTATACTGTTTGGGGGCAAGGGGTACCCTGTGTTTTTATTCTTATCTGGTATTGCTGATAAAAGAATAATTGTACAGATAAAACAAAAATTTTGCTAATTTTCAGTATTTGATTTTAAATCTTGAATTGGCTTCAGAACAATTTAGCCGTGACATTTCTTGTTTAAATTTATTTTCTGGAAATAGAATTAAACTTTACTGGTTGATAGGAGTAAGAGGACAGCTCTTACAATTTTGTTGTCAGTTGGCAAGTTATTTTGGTTTAAAATAACTTAATGATGATATTAAGTCATGTCACTCTAAGAATTACTTAAAGGCAAGTGGGTTTCATTCATCTAAATATGCCTTCCTAATGGAATAATTTTATTCAATAAATTTTTATCCTTAGGGCCTGAACGAAGAAGTGTGTAAATTGACAATAAAAACAAAACCATCACAGCATATCATGAATCCGGTCATGCTATTATTGCATATTACACTAAGGACGCAATGCCTATCAACAAAGCTACAATCATGCCAAGAGGGCCAACACTTGGACATGTAAGTATCTTGTTTTTTNTTTCCAATTGTCTAGGTGTCCCTCTTGCCTGAGAATGACAGATGGAACGAAACTAGAGCTCAGCTGCTTGCGCAGATGGATGTTAGCATGGGAGGAAGAGTGGCTGAGGAGCTTATTTTTGGAACTGACCATATCACAACAGGTTGGCTGTAAAGAATGGCTTTAGTTCAGATTGTGCTTGCTGATATAAAAATATTTTTAAATACGGAGTCTATATTTTTGACTTTTAGGTGCTTCCAGTGATTTTGATAATGCAACCAAAATTGCAAAGCGGATGGTTACCAAATTTGGAATGAGTGAGAAGGTAAAAGCTAATTTTACCCCTCCCTCATGTATCAAATGGTGATTTGCCAAGTGTCTCCTTATGAGACAGGGTTCTTTTTTTATTCTTAAGACTTTATTTTTTTTAGTGGAGAGAGTGAGCACGAGAGGGGAGATGGTCAGAGGGAGAAGCAGAGTCCCAGCTGAGCAGGGAGCCCAGTGCAGGACTTGATGCTAGGACTCCGGGACGGTGACTGGAGCTGAAGTCAGTCTCTTAACCCACTGAGCTACCCCAGGCACTGTAGGAGAGAGGGTTCTCGCTATAAATTGGTAACATTTACTTTTCTCCTGTTTCATTCAGAGTAGATTTGTCACGGCTCATTCTAAACTAAACTTTTTTTTTTTTTTTTTTTGAGTGCTAAGGTATAGTGTTCACTTTCCAATCTGGCTGCTTGAACAGTAATAGTATGTCATGAGTTAAGCAAACAATAAGATACTCTGTTTCTGTTCTTATGACCTAAAACTTCTGTTTGCCGAGCTGCTTACTTTGCTCTTCCCACGCATTTCACTCTCCTACGTTATCACTGTGGCTTCACACAGCACTTCCAATGCACTACATTGTGGATTTCTGGATTTGGAATAGTGGCAAAGGTTTTCTAAGAACGTACTTAGAACCATACTTGGGATTTTAAAGTTTCTCTCTTGTTCATACTTTTTAGTCTTACACTTTCAGAAGAATGATGAAATTTCTCTACTGAATTTCTTCCTTGCCCTTGATGAGGTTTCCTTAAGTATAGGATAGTACTTCCTCTGTTTATTATTTATTATAGTGTTTTATTATTATTTATTAGTGGTTTGGGGTGTTTCTGTTCAATTTCTTTCTTTTTGTTTGTTTTAGCTTGGAGTTATGACCTACAGTGATACTGGGAAACTGAGTCCAGAAACTCAATCTGCTATTGAACAAGAAATTAGAATCCTTCTAAGGGTAATAATTCTGTTTTTCTGTGCTTATTCATCTGTCTAGTCATTAATGTGCCTAAATAGTTAGGCGCTACCAGAAGATAATGGTTATCCCCTGTTTAAAACTATTGCTATATATAATCAAGAGAGTGAGTACACCATTGAAGCCATAATTTCAGTATGTAGTTGGGAGCCTCTGGTCATAGTCTGAAACTTTATTTTATTCTGGCCATAGGCTAGGAACAGTTAATATCAGTAATTACAAATATTCTGCTTCATCTGTAAAACCATAGTGTCGTTAGAATGCGGGGATATTTGATTATTTGAGTCTTTATTTAATTTTTCACTCTGACATACATTTTATTCCACAAATACTAGTTGTTTTGTGCCTCGCTGTGTATATACACTGAGAATGAAGCATAAAGGTCTTTGAAAACGAAAGTCTTTTTGATTACAGGGTCCAGTACAGAGTACGTGAGCGTCGATTCAGTGAGATGAGTGAGTAGGTTCTGTGGAATCTCCTTGAGGCACAGCAGATGCTTGATTAGGGCAGTCATCCAAGCAATAGGGCAGATAATCCAAGCAATCCCCTTGGATTAGGGCAGCAGGGGAAATTGAGAAAAATGAATGCATTCAAGAGATGCTGATCTAGTGGAATCAAATGCCTTTCTGATATTTGGGTGAGAGAGCAGCTAAATGAAGTAACAAAGCTGTGTCCTCGATTTCTGCCTGGTGCAGCCATCTAGTTGTGTGTGCCGTTGACTGAGAAAACACTG